TGTTAAGGGTTGTTCTGTGACAGGGACTTGAGGCTGTGGGTTTGAGATGATTAATATGATGTCCTAGGATTAGAGAGCAGAATCTTCTGTTGTGCCAGTATTTAGGAATGGATATTAGCAGGGCAGTTACTGCTCCAAGAAATGTCACTTCAGAACACCTAGGGGAGGGTAAAAAACCTCCAGCATCACAGGTTTGAAATCTGAGACTTAGGCACAGTTGGTTTAGATAAGGGCATTTGAACAGCTGTAGTCACTGCATTATTTTGCTTCGTTTGCTTCTGGAGAAGCATATGGGCTCCACGGTATCAAACCTGTTTTTGTTCCATCTCCCTTCTTTTAACAATAAGGTTGAAGGACCAGAATATGAAGAACTTGTCCGTCTTCATGATTCAGTTTATGATCAAGCTGTTGCCTGGTTTACTTCTCTTAAAGACAATATGAAAGTGCAAATTCTCAATCATTTTGGGTCCATGCCAGGAAAAGAACCAGAGCCACAGGTAATAGAACCTTCCTACTTAAACAGCCTTATTCTATACCAAATTTTTACAGTAAACTGTTTTCTGACAGATTTTTGCTGTGGTTTTGTACATTCTAAATCTTATTGGCATGAAGCATGGAAAACAGTGTATCTATGTAACTTGATAGCTGAAGGAATAAGTTCTTAGTGGTATATGTAGACAAAGAGAACATCTGCAATTAAGTGTTTAATTGTTGCTTGAACTGTTTGTGTTAACTTTTTTAGCAAATACAAGGTGAGAAGGAAGGCGATGTTCTTAATACATAATTGGTGAATACATCTTTCTGTTCTTTTGCAGAGCAACCCCAGTGGTCCTGCCTGGTACTGGTGGCTCTTGGCAGTGCTGCCTCTGGAAAACAGAGCTCAGCTGGCTATATTGGCTATGACCTCCCTTAAAGATCGTCTTATTGCCATCAGACGCGTATTGATATTTGTGACTCGCAAAAGACCCAGATAACATGGACTTCAGTTGAGTGGGCACTGAAAAAGCATCTCATGATAGGTCGTTCTAGGGGAGGGCAAAGGGGAGGGGTTGTTTTTGTATTTTTCAAAGATTCCTTCAAAAAAAAGCAGCCCTTTCTGACTATGTCCTGCATCCATCGATTGCATCAGTTTGTTATCTTGGGTATTCACCAAACCTTGCACACTCTCCTGTTATCCTGATGAAAACTGAGCCTCTACAAAGCTGTGCTACATTTAGAGTGTAGCTGATGGATGTGGATAATTGCTTCAAAGTACTGCGATAGAGTTGATGTTTCTAGCCTGCAAGAGAGTTAAGTACTAGAGTTGCACCATTGGCCTGCATGTGATTTGGATTTTCACTTGGTAGGAAAAGGAAACTGAACAATGGATTGAAGAGGTGTTTCCTAGACTTGTAGTGAGCAGAAGAGGAGTTGTTGCTACCCAGCAGAAGTATGCATGAAGACTATAACTGACACTACTGTCTGTCAGTGAATCGGAAGGCACTCTGTCATAAACCCACATCTCGCTTTCTCTCTCTCTCTCTCTTTCTCTCTTCAGCAAATAGTAGTCTGAGGAAAAAAACAAGTTAAGCATTTGTGGTCAAGGCATCTGAGGATGTTTGGATGAAAGAATAATAGCTACTGAATAAGTACACTATTAAGTAGCCTTAGGTAATCCCTCCTTTGTGATTTATGTGTTGTAGCAGAATGAGTATGTACAAAATGTTTGGAAAGGTGTACTTTGGTTTCTTTGAAAAGAAAAACCAAAGTAATCCTAGCTGGTCTTACCGCTAAATTCAAATCAAGCCGCTCCCTAAAGTATGATAAACACTGCTGTGAAATAATGATTTCACCCCAAGTAGGAGGGAGGCATGCTGCAGTTTACTCTGAGCACCTGCTCTGCGAGTGGGACCAGCGAGGATGAAAGATGGGGAGGTTTCCATCTCCCTCCTTCCTGCAGTGTCGTGCCAACCTCCCGTTACATTGAGGTGATCTCTACTGAACGCGTTTCAAACCGAAAGTATTGTAGTTTAGTACCAGTTGCTGTATGTGATGGGAATCAGTCCACAGTAACACCGTGAAAGGAGTCACAAACCGAACCTATAAAGGCAAGTCTCAATGCAAGCTTAAGTCAGGTGTTAACCTTCATTTGTCTCTTTGATTATTTTTTATGTATTATTTTGTTATTATCTAATTTTGATAGCTATTAAATTGATCGCTTGTCAGTCAAATGATCAATATTAGCTCAACTGCCAATGAAATAACTCAGTGTTACCAATTCAGTTGGCACAGTTTCCTATATAACTAGAACTGATACTACCAACAGGGAAAAAAAATTGACTTGAATCTCCATGTGCTGCAAGCATAGCAAGACCAATGTAAAGACTTGTTCATGTGCAGAAGTCTGGTAAGAAGAAATGGCTGCTTACCTACATGGTCAAAGTGCCTGGTTTCTTTTTTAGTTCTTTTGTCCTTATTTGTCAATGAAGAGGTATTTAAACTTTTTTTTTTTCCACTTTGCACATGAATTCTGGACTGCATTAAAATGCCGTGATTGAGATATATTACCTGCTCTCTTTGGGTATTGTAGTTATAACCTGTGTGGTCTGGGAAACAAAAATTGAGAGTTTTTTTCCTTTCAGCAAATGGCTACCACAAATGGTTTCTGTAACATACCCTGAATGTACTGTAACTGCCTCTACCTTGAACACGCCTTTTCTATTTAAGTAGTTTGTAAGTATATTCTCTGAATTGTGAAGTGCATAATGTACAACCAATGATGTCATAACCTCTACAGTAGCCTTCTGCAAGTTCTGCTACCACCACCAAAATACTCAAAATTCAAGTTAAATGCATTTCCTCCAGAATCTGAAGATGAGGAAGAGGAATTCACTGAAGTGTAAAGGACTGGTTACATACATGGGGGAGGAAATGTCAGAAGTCAGTAGGTCTTCAGCCCACTGTCAGCTGAGCTACTGAAAGGTGATTTCACAAACTAATTCTCGGACCAGAAGATGGACTGTATTTGATCTTGCAATCCTTTCTGTTCAGCTTCCTGTTCTTCCCATTCCTTTCCATGCTGTGTATTTCTTCGAGACTCACTCATCTTGCTTGTTTGTGTGTCTGCCTAGTTTTGAGTATTACTAGCTTAGCTGAAAGAGGACGCCAATTGTATTTGTATATTGCTGGTCCCGATCTTATATGTGCTTAATTTTACAGATAGGAGTGCATTTAAGAAAAAAAAATATCAAGGTGCTAGTTAGTGTCTTCTTGGCTTTGCCTCAGTAAACGTTAATGTTAATATTCTTCTTTGCAAAAGTGATTTGTTCAAGATACCTACTTTTGAGGTACTTCTGAGAGAAAACCCTATGGAAAAAGAGAGGTTGTTTACTGCTGTTCTGTAATGTGTAAAGACATTCTACATAGGAAGTGACATTACTGTGTTCATGAAGGCCTGCATAGTTAATGGAGTGATTGATATTGAAAAGAAAGCGGAACTTTCTTTTCCCTGTAGAGGGATTTTTTTTTAGTCAAGGTTTAAAGCGGTTTGTGAATATTTCAGTGACTGATGTTTTGGATAAATGATAATAACAAGGGAATTGTCTGTGTATGGATGCAAATAATCATATTAGCAGCCCAAAGCTGACTTTTCCTCCAAAACATTGAATGCTGATCAAATAGCAAAGCTTTAATAAATAAAAGAAATCACCACTGCCCTGTGGTACTTGCTTTCTAAGGGAAAGTACCAGTTTCATTTTTACCAAATCACCTCTGCCATATAATATCTACAGCATCCAGTAGTACCTCACAGGAAAAGCTAGCTATCTTATTGCTCTCTAGAGGAGATGTCCATGTTACAGCCAGTCTATGCTTAGGTGTAACTTGTCGCCAAGGTACATGTGAAGGCATTGGAGCTGAGCTCCTGGAAGAGATAGACAGGATTCGTTGCCTTTCTAGCTCATTACACTTTTCTTGCTTGCTATCCAAGCAAGGATGCTGGGATATATGATGAGTCTTTTCACTGTGGTGAATGTGGCCCTTCTTTATACATCGTAAAGAGGCCAAAAAGAAAAAAAAAATCCCTCTACCTCTACACCTGTTGTTCACCTGTAAAATTTCAAGCTACAAAATGATATATATATTTTAACCTTTTTTGTCTTTCAGAAGCATACTAATTGTTTGCCACTGAGGCCTTTTATCTACTGTATTTTAATATGTTCATTTGATAGTCATCAAGATCTCTTTGTACTTCTAACCTGTAGAACTTGTCATGTTTCTTACTGCTCTTTTTTCCCTGTTCTCCAGTCCACTTTTAAATTGATAAATAGAAAGCTGTACACTCTCTATTCCTGTTACATTTTACACAGTGGAACTGGTATTTTGGTAGCGCCTTAATTTTGCAGTTGTGAAATGATTGTATCAACTCTTATCTGGGGCTTCTGACCAGATGTAAACGAGTATGTTTAATGTAGATAAACTTGAAACCATTTTTTACTGTTTTAAAGCTAGAAATTAAATGGAGTGTGTACATATGTATAAATATAAATTATTAATCTGCACCTTTTTGTATCTAGTAAATACAGGAGAAGTTCATGTTCTAACCACATTTGGCACTTTTTGTTGCATAAACAAAGCCAAAACTTTTTTTAAAGATTGCAATGTTCATTTCATGTATATTTGCAATATTCATGGGAAATGTATTTAATTTATGTGATATTTGGAATAAACCAGGTTGAATTTATAAGCGTGTGAGTTCATGGAGAAAGCTTTATCACTGGAGGATTAAGAGCTAGAGCTGTCGTAAATATGGTCTGAGCCACTGATGTGCTGCTGTCAGAAGGGGGATGATAGTTTGATTTCCCTTGTGGGAGCCCAAGGGCTGAGCATTGGCCTCATGAGGTTTTTAAGAAGCAAATGGCATCTGAGAAGCAGTGGTTGGATGTTGGGGCTCATAAGTTGCATGGCAATGGTTTTAGCCCCAGTACGAGAAAAGTGGGGGAGGCTGTAGAGATGGTGGCACAATGGGGTTTGCTGGGGACCCGGGGCAGCCTGTGGCACTGGGTGTGAATGTTAGGGGTGGATTTGAAGGGGAGGTGGAGGTCCCCAAAATACAGGGTGAGGGGCAAGAGGAAGAAGCCCTTGGAGTAGGTAGGATGGAGGAGATGAACCTTTAGCTTCCTCAGAAGTGAGTTGTGACAAAGATGGGGTAGAATCATGAAGTGGGCTTTTCCTTTTGTAGCTTCTTGGTTATTTTTTAGCCCTAAGCATGACCTGACTGGCCCCATAGAATAAATGCAAAAAAAAATATGTGGTTACAATGAAGAGCAAAATGCTTTTTTGTCTAAGCCCAGTGAATTAAAATGCCTTCAGGGTGTTGCAGGGTAGAGGCAATGTTTCAGACTGAGACACTGGCCATGGCTGGCACCACTGTAGGGGGTGGTGGGACACTGGTCACACTGCAGCAGCAGCAAAGCTTTGATGATCCTTGTGGGTTCCTTCCAACTCAGGCTGTTCTATTCTAAAATGGAGTTGTGTGAGGGCAAAGTTGAGCCAGATTGTGCAGGGAATATCCCATCTCTCAGTTACGTCTTGCTACCAGCAAGCTGCTGAGCAAAACCATTGTGAAGGTATTTTTTGTAAATACTAGCCTTTTTTTTTTTTCTTTCGGCATTGGATTGACTTTGGCCTTTGTGCCTGTATTCACTGAATGTCTGAGCAAACAAACATCAGTTACAGGACTGCTCTTTTGCTTTGAAGTGTGTGTAAATGCTGCTTGAGCTGCTTTGGTACACTGGACAACAGCATTTTTGAAACATCGTTCACCAAAGGAAGGAGGTGGGGAAAGATGACTGATCAAGGTTTCCTTTTTATAACCCAGATCCTTGTGCACCCTGAGACTTGAGAACAAAAGTAAATAAAGTAACTGCATGAAGTTAATAAATAGTTTTTTTCCTCAACCTCCATGTCCTGTGTTAGTAGATGTTGAGTCATGGAAAGACAGCATCTCAGTGCCTACTTCCCTGAGTAATGCCATTCTTAGAGTGTGGAGACCCTCATGGTCTGTTGTGCTATATGTATCGCTCTGCTTCATCAAACCAGGAACCAAAATAATGCTGCTTAATTCTGTCCAGCAGCACTTACTGGAAGCTGTTGGCTATTGAATCATAGAATAAGAAAGATGAGTAATCTGGAGCAAAAAATCTGATACTATCAAGTGAGGTGCAAAAAAGTGAATCCATGCCAGCACTTTCCTTAGTTCCTCTAACAAATGTGCATACTGCACTTGCAGCTAAAGGACAAGCATGTTTTCAGTCGCATTTACGTTACTTGGTAGGAACAAGTTGTTTCTAAATTGAGATGAATATCACTTGCTGACAACTTTTATAGCTCTGTTCTGCCATATGTGGGGTTCTGCCTTGTCTGCTAAATTTGGGACTTCCTGCATACATGGAAGAAATGTCTTTACTTGTAAATGTTGCTTACGTTTTTTCTCATAAACATCTGCTGCTCTTTTTGTGCAACAGCTACGTTGGAGCCCTGCTCCTGGGAGGACCTGGGTTTTCTGCACAGAAACTGGTGCTGGGGTCAGGCCAGTTAACCTCACCACAGATGAAGTTAGAGAAACAACTCTGATCCCTTTTCTCCTACACAGGATGCTCCAGAGGCAGAGCTGAAACTTCTCAAGTTACAGTCTTGTGTCTGTGCAAACCTGAGAATGGCATCTTTAGGATGGTATATGGAAAGTGGCCGCAGCCCCTTCAGCCCATCAACCTATTCGTGTTCACCACAGCATTAAATCCTCCCACCTTCACTTCAGCTCATGAAGCCCACAGGAGACACACTGCTCATCATCCTAGGTATTTCTTCTGATTCCCAGCCCCTTCTCATCACAAGATCTTGTTCTTCCCTTACTGATCCACTGGTTTTCTTTTCAAGCGAGAAAAGAGAGAAAAGGTAAATAAACCGAACACCCAGGAAGGTTTTGCTGACTGGTGGCTGCACTTGCCAGTTCTTTGGCCAAAGCTGCAGTAAGAGAGCAGGTTCAGGCAGCAGGACTCATGTCAGAGCAGATCTAACAGGGGAACAAAGATACTTTTAAAGTAAAAGAGGGAGGAATATGTATGGTGTCCTTCATCATAAGAGGAGAGATATCCAACTTTGAGCTCAGCTCTGCCCTGGAGCAAGTACCTTCCGTTTTCTGCTGGTGGCTGAGGCACCTCACAGTGCTGGCTCGTTGCCCTTGTTGGCTAACAGAAAATGGACTTGCTGTTGCTAAGGAGTCAGTGTCAGAAAAATGCCTAAATGCTCCATGCCAGCTTTATTTTCTCTTAGCTGAAATTACTTTGCTTGGGCAGAAGGAGAAAGATCATCCGTTGCTGGAATGGAAGTCTACTTAGCAAGGACCCCAGGACCAATGAGATTTCCCCATTCTCTCTGTTTTGTTGTTCAGATGAGATCTATTGCCATGAGGTTGTATGGAGATCTGAACCTGGCACCAATACGTCTTTCAGCAGTTCCAGTTAAACCAGCAGTCTTGAGTCTCTTTTTACAGAGAACAGTTTCTATATCAAGAAGTATAACAAGGCTATTAAAGTAAATTTGGTTTCTGCCTCTCAAGTACGTGTCACCAGAGCCTAAGCTGCATCACGGGCTTTGCTGAAGGGTGACTTCATTCCTGACACCCTCAGGTAGCTGCCTGGAGCCCCGCCCATACTTTCAGAAAACATGCTGTAGCATCTGGAAAGGATACTGTTCTCTACAGGCACATCAACAGGTGCTTCTTCACATGGAGCACTCTCAGAGCAACTTTGTTTTAAGTAAACCTGTGAGGTCTTACGTGGATGTAAGACCCAAAGGATGTACACCCTAAAATTTCATTGCCAGTGGAAACTGTGGTTCAAATAGAGGTATTCAAAGAGAACAGAAGATACTTACCCTGAACCAGAAATCAATGAGTATGTGTGCCGTGTGCGTTTCCATCCCAGCCTCCTTCCCTTCCTCTTGATTTTTTCATTCCTTGATCTCTGCTGGAACTGGAGTGCAGGGGAGCATGTGTGGGGAACACCCAAAGCTCAAGCGCTGTGCTCTGTGGTGGGACCAGAGCAATTCCAGATGAATGGCTAATATTGAAGTATCCAGTCTCATTTGCTTAAGGTGCACCATTCCCAAAAACCTTTGGAAGATAGAGTAAGTTTTTATTCTTTTGTTAACTGTTGTTATGAATCAGTTCTCTGTCGCCTTTGCCCCCACACCAGATGTACTTACAAACGTTAATTTGAGTCTTCTATATGTCCTGGAAAGCTTTTTCTTTTCCAAATTTGTATACAGAATTTGAGGGAGGCTCTGACTTTGAGCAAGTAATGTGATATAATCATGGCATCTTTTTCCTTCTTTAATCCTGCAATATTGTGACCTCAGTAGCACAGTGTACCAACACATTCCTCAAATTAATTGTACACAAAGATCTTACAATTTCCCCTCATTTTTGTTTTTGTATTGTTTTATCCAATCTCAGAACTACTATTATTTCTGGTATGCTTTCTGCTGCTGGAGAGGCCCAAATTGATCGCACTTTTCTAAATAAAGGAATTGTAAAAAAAGTGTGCCTCCCACTCTTCACGCTCTTGAATGTTTTGTTTGCTGCATAGACAGTTACAGGGTTGTGTTCAGAACAGTGTGTCTGAATTGCAGGCTTCTTGTTTCACAGAGGTGCCTCTTTACCAGATGGTCCTTTCAAGCAAGTAATTTTCATGTTTACTTAGCAGCAATTGACTCTGCATAAGTGTCAGCTTTGGCCAGATCCTTTCAAATATTGTCAATATGTGCTAATTATACAGTGCAAAGGCTTCTTCATTTTATCTTTATGAGTAATAACAGGTAATTCCTCTTGGAGAATGTGTACTAAAACATTGGTAAGAGTTCATGTTCTTCCAGTTGTAAGACAGCCTGGGTGTACATCTTTTTTTTTAGCAGTGATATCTGTTCCCCTTTAGACAGACAGCTGCTGATTGCAGTCTACCTTTTGCTCAGCACTCTGTTCCTTTTGTGTGTAGTGCTGGAAAATCTCTTGGCATGGAGGAGTTAAATATTTCTGTGCTCTTGTTTGAGTCATATGTCCCCCAATGGGGAGTGGGTTTGCTTGCAGACACGTATTGGTTTGGAGCTGGTCCTGGAACAGGAGTGCACGGCTCACGTCCGACATGCACCCGCCTGGGCAGAAACCAGGCAACAGCCACTGCAAATCAAAACACATCGGGGGATGGGGGGGGGGCAAAGCACAAGACTCAGGAAAGGATTAGCCAGTGATGTTATTCTTTGCCTGCATTCATTCAAGGTGGAAGAAGGAACACAGGGAAACCAGACGTTTTTGGCTCTGCCTCTGTTCATAAGCTGTGTGTGAGACTGTTCTCTGACACAGGCGCTCTTGGCACAGAGCAGCTGTGTGTGTCCACAGTGTTAAATCCTCTTTCCCATCCAAAATGTGCAACTTCACACAAACAACCTGTTGGGAATGGGTCCTGCATTGTGCAAATTTAAGGAGGTGAGGAGAAAGGGGTTGTAACATTATCTGGCAGGAGCCTAAAGCTTTCCTCAGCTCTTCTTAATTTGCTTGTATAGGCATAGCCTTGAGGATTGTTTTTCTAGGTAATGAGAAGTTTCGCAATGAGGGGCCCTGAGTGTGTGGGGGGTGAGCACAGCTGGGGGTGGGACTGCGAGAGGAGCAGTTTGGCTCCAGCTGGCTTTGGATAGGACACTGGTGGTTAGCATAGGGAACCCTAGCAGGCATCTCCTAGAGAAGCACATATGCAGGGCTTTACAGTGTTTTGGCTTGATCTCCCTAAGTGGAATATAAGGTCTTGGTCTGCTAGTTGTGTGTGAAGGGGAAGGAGTAGAGGACTGGAGAAGTGGTGATAAATTTTGGAAGAAATCACAGGAAAGTGTCCTAAGGGAATTGCCTCTGTCATGTTTCCCACTGAATGAGGACAGCATACAATCCCAGGCTTTTGCATACAGGGCTGATGATGACCAAAGGGCCTGGAGTACACTGCACCATAAAGGAGCATAAGGCCACCAGTCTGGACTGGAATAAAAGCCTGTCTGACACAGTGCTCTGTTTTCAGCAGTAGCCAAAACCCAGAGGAGTACAGGGTAATACTAATACTTCATCTCTCAGCCTCCAGAATGAAGAGACTTCCTAAGCCAGATGCGATGTCTGTGTTTCAGAGCCCTCAGTAGATGTCAGTTCTGTATCTTTATGAACACCTTTTTGAACCCACACCTTTGTTTGGTGCAGATGTCCACGGGGTGTCTGGAGGGTGTGTAAAGGACTGCTTTTCATTTTGGACTAGGATCTTACCAGCTTCTCCCTAGCTCTTGTATTGGAAGATACAACAGGCACCAACAGGAGGCACCAGGAGCTGAACAAGAAAAGGGATTCTTCCTCTAAGCCACAATCTCTCTTTGTGTTTTCCAGTTTTGTTGCACTTCTAGGGCTGGCATAGACCTTTGTCAGACCAGAGAGTCCAGGGTTGGCCTCTCACTCAGACCCTTTCTGTAATTCCTCATGATCAGCCTTCACCTGTATAACCTTAAATGACTGAGCATTATCAAGAGAAAAGAGGCGTCTCCACACAGGGTCTGTGGTGGGTTCATGGAGGCTCAAGTGAGCAAGCAGCCAGGCAACCCCAAAGGCAGCTGGATCGATGGTCTTTGCCAGAATGAGTTAGAGATGTTTGTACTGGCAGCAGTTTGCATGATGTGATAGAAAAATATTTTTAGCCTTTTTTTTTTTTTCTATTCAACAGGTAATTTTGCCATTTCCTCTGCCCACAGCTTTAGAAAGCCAAACAGCAATGCAGAACACATGGTAGATAGAAATCAGCCTGCAGCATTCACAGGAAGTAGATGTTTCTGGTGTCTGTGAGGGAAGTGGCCACAAAATACAGATGCTAATCAGACTAAAACCATGCATCTCAAATGCTTCAATTCGCCATTGAAAGATGGAAGCTGAGAGGTCACCTCTGAGCTTTATAAGCATCAGCTCACAGCAGACCATGCTAGAGTTATGAGTTAGGCACTGTGGGAATACTTGGCTGTTACCTCATACTTGGGAGAGTCAGAGATGCTCTCAGCATCTGCATTCTGCACAGGCCAGCTTTGTTCTGGTCCAGAGCTGGGCCCGTCCTGCCTGCTGGCTTCTTCCTCAGCCCTTCCTTCCTCTGGATCCCACATTTCTGTCACCAGTTGCAGCTTGATGTGTTTCTTCCCCTCTCTCCCAGCCTATCCAAAGCATGTCAACGAGAGAGCTATTCACAAGACAAGGAAAAGAGAACTGATTCTGGAGACTTTCTGGTGTGGCTTGACTGCTGTAAGTAGTGCTGATTCTGCTATGAGCTGGATGCGGTACCAGCTGAGGACGAGGGCTGGCAGGAGAGACCTGTGTGATCACACTGTGCCAGAGGGACCGTGAGTCTTGCAGCTGAGGCTGCTTCCCATTTTCTTCCTCAAGTACAGCCATGCCTTTGAGGATAAGAGGGAAATCTCAGCAGAACAAGGTCTAGTCAAAGTATTCTTCATTAGTTTTACTAACTTATCTCCTTCTATGACAAAGTGACCCTCTTAGTGGTGATGCAAAGGCTGTGGACTCTTGTAAAGCCTTTGACACTGTTTCCCAAAGCATTCTCCTGGACTAATTAGCTGCTCGTGGCTTGGATGAGCATACTCCACTGGATAAAAACTGGCTGGATGGCTGAGGCCAGGGAGTGGTGGTGAATGGTGTTACATCCAGTTAGTTGCCAGTCACTAGTGGGGTTCCCCATGGCTCAGTTTTGGGGCCAGTCCTGTCTAATATCTTTATCAATGATCTGGACAGGAGGATTGAGTGCATCCTCAGTCAGTTCAAAGACAACACCAAGTTGTGTGGGAGTGTTGACCTAGTGGAGGGCAGAAAGGCTCTTCTGCGCAGAAGGATCTGGACAGGCTGGATCAATGGGCCAAGACCAATTGTATGAGGTTCAACAAGTCCAAGTGCCAGCTCCTGTACTTGGGTCACAATAACCCCATGCAGAGCTGCAGGCTGGGGGCAAAGTGGCTGCAAAGCTGCCCAGTGGAAAAGGACCTGGGGGGTGCTGGTTGACAGCAGTTGAACACAAACCAGCGGTGTGCCCAGGTGGCCAAGAACGACAATGGCATCCTGGCTTGGATCAGAAATAGTGTGGCCAGTAGGACCAGGGCAGTGATCATCCTCTTGTACTCGGTACTGGTGAGGCTGCACCTCAAATCCTGTGTTCAGTTTTGGGCCCCTCACTACAAGAAAGACAGGAAGGTGCTGGAGCATGTCCAGAGAAGGGCAGTGGAGCTGGAACAAAGTCTTATGAGGAGCAGCTGAGGGAACTGGGGTTGTTAAGCCTGGAGAAAAGGAGGCTCAGGAGGAGACCTTCTCGTGCTCCACAACCACCTGAAAGAAGACTGTGGCAAGGTGGTGGTTCGTCTCTTCTCACAAGTAATAAGCAAGAGGACAAGAAAAAACAGCCTCAGTTTACACCAAGGGAGATTTATACGGGGTATTAGGAAAAATTTTTTCACCAAAAGGATTGTCAGGCATTGGAATAGGCTGCCCAGGGAAGTGATAGAGATATTTAAAAGACGTGCAGATGTGGCAGTTAAGGACCTGTTTTAGTGGTGGACTTGACAGTGCTGGGATAATGGTTGGATGTGTTGACCTAAAGGGTCTTTTCAGCCTAAATGATGCTATTAGTCTATGATTTATAAAAATGTTTTCCTTCTGAAATCTTCCAAATCTAGCAAACCCTTGACAAGTTTCCCTGCTCTTCTTTCCCTACGCCTTTTCTGTCTCTCTTTCTCTTTCCTGTACTGTGATACAAAGGAACTTGAGGGTAAGGAGAGGAGCAGGAGGAGTCTGAAAAAAAGCCAGAACTTGGGTGGTTTTGCTAAGCCATCTCATTGCTATCCCAGCCTGAGTCACTGCACTCCTCACTCACTCCAGCCCCTCCTGAACAACACAGGCAGTCGCAGAGCTATGTGTAGCTGTTGTTATGGTGTGCTGGTTTTGGCTTGGGTAGAGTTAATTTTCTTCACAGTAGCTAGTGTGGGGCTGTATTTTGGATTTGTGCAGGAAACAGTGTTGATAACACTGGGATGCTTTAGCAACTGCTGAGCAGTTGTCAGGCAAAATCAAGGCCTGTTCTGCCCCTCACCCCACGAGACCCACAGGCAGGCTGGGAGTGCACAAGGAGTAGGGAGAGGACACAGCCAGGACAGCTGACCCCAATTGACCACAGGGATATCCCAATATCATATGGTATCATGCTCAGCATATAAAGCTGGAGGAAGAAGGAGGATGAGGGGACATTCAGAGTGATGGCTTTGTCTTCCCAAGTCAGCATTACACATGCTGGAACCTGGCTTTTCTAGAAGTGACTGAACACCTGCCTGTTCATGGGAAGGGGTGAAAAAAATTCCTTCTTTTGCTTTGCTGGCATGCATGGCTTTGGCTTTACCTATTAAACTATCTTTATCTGAACCCACAAGTTTTCTCACTTTTACCCCTGCAATTCTCACCTCCATCCCACTGGGGAGAGGGCAGTGAGAGGCTGTGTGGTGCTTAGTTGTCAGCTGGGATTGAACCATGACATACAGCCAGCACATGAAGCCTTTACGTTGGTTACCACTGGTTACCCAGTTCCCCTCATTGCATAAAAACTAACAGGAACACCAGGTGACTTGTCACCCTCTCTTCTCTCACCTCTGCTTAGCTCTTGCCTTTTGCAAAAAGGCACAGGCAAAAAGGCAGTTACCTGTTCTGCACCAAGACAGTCCAAGGGCTTCACCCTGACCCTACCCTGCCACCCTCCCAGATGCCTGGGAGAAGGGCCCCACAGTGATCCTCCACACTGTGCTGTGTCCCACTGACTTCTGTTCCTGTCTGTAACTTTATGCCTTTGAGGGCTGTACATATGCAAGTATTTTTCCTAGGCACATTTGTGCAGACAGTTATTGCCTGTATGTTCTGCGTTCCTCTGGGAGTTTTAGTATAATATTTGTACTTTGGGAAAATTCATCCCTTCTCCTTGGAGCCATGAGTCCCCTGTGGATTCCCAAAAGAAGCTTAGAAAGAGCCCTGTGAACCTGACTGCATCAACACGTCCTGCTTAGCAGCCAACAGAGAAACTCAGATCCCTATTGCTTCTGGAAAGAGACACTGAGGCTCCTTTTAATGCTTCATTTCTCTTGCTAGAATTTTAGATAGGAAACCCTGCCTGGGAGTAAGGCTGTGCTTCTGCTTTCAGCCACCCAATGCCAGATGACTGAAACCAGCTTCTCCCTACAGCTCCTGAGAGGTAAATACATTATTCTGCTCCTGCAAACTGCTGGGACTGAACCATAACAACCACTGACAGAGACAGTGTTATGTTGCAATCACTAGTTATTATTGTGGTTAAAATATACCCAGAGCATGTAAAACATGAAATAGTCCTTCCCATCTTTCTAGAGGGCTCCAAATGTTCCTGCCAGCAGTGACAACAGTGGGACTTCATAAGGCCTCACAGCTGGAGGGACAGCTCTTCCCACCACAAAATTTTAAGTTGCTTGGTGATTTCAGCAAGATTTCTCAGTGACAGAGAAGTCTCAATTCTTGTAACTTTGATGAAAATTGTTGACCAAGCAGAGGAGAGAGACATTAATTCCAATTACTGTTCCTGCTAAGGAAAAATCTGTATTTTTAGAGGCTATTGATCAAGAAGGAGAAATAAATATTGAGAAAATGAGGCTGGGATGGTTCTGATAGCCCTGGGAACTACTTGTTTTAGTATTAAATCTTCTGTGTTGTCTTTTGCCCTCAGAGCATGATTAATCCCTATAGTACACTGCAAGGGTCTGGATGTTGCTCTGACCCACTGTGACCACCACAGTATTCATCACTGCTTCTATCTTTGTAGGCTCCCAGGCAGGAACCTGGAGATCCTGCCATTGTATCCCTCCTGCCCCCTCACCCGGACTATCACAATTTCCCCCTTACCCTTTTGCTGAACTGTGGGACACAGTGATGCTCCTCTGATAAATGAGTGTTGGTTGCCTGGGGGCGCAGTACCCTGATGCTGGTCCTACACTGGTGGAGCAGTTTAGCCCAGGAATCACAGGGATGCTCTGCCCCAGTCTCTTCTCTCAAGGAGAACTTCATGTCTCAGACATTGGCCAGGAGAACAATTACATTATTGTAAATGACCATGCATCACTTGGAAGAAAGGTAATTAAACATCTGAAGGCCAGAGACTTGGTTTAATGACAAGAAGACTCAACCAAAAGCTGTGGGGCAGTGATACTGCCTACATGAAATGGTGATCACCTGGCTGCTGCTGTTTCTGAAACTTGAGAGAGAGGTTTTGAGACCTGTGGAAATTTTGAAATCATATTAAGTGATGAATGTTAAGAAGTAATTACAGAAAAAGAAAAACAAACAAAATGAACAGTGTATTTTTTCCCTTCCTCCCCCATGTGAAATGGTAATGGAATATGGTTTCCTATTGTAATGTAATGCTTTAAGTACTTTGTGTCCCAGTTTCACAATGCTCAGTACGATGTGTACAAAAAATAATATGAGTATGTTGTGGTTAGGCTGTTTATCAGCTATCTGCTTTACTGAATATATATTTATATATATATGGTATTTTCACTGTGAATTAACTGTATAAGTAAAGAAAAAGAAAAATTCATTACCAGTCAGTTAAACTTCACAGGATCCTGAAAAAAGCTACAGAGGACAGTCAATGTCAGGAAGATAAATTTATGCTTTTTTTTCCCTTTTCTTTTTAGAGTATGACTTTTTTTTTTTTGCCAGGGTGGGGGGGAAAATTGTTATTTGTGTTAATTAGTGGTGCCTGGATAAAGGAAGCAACTACAGTGGCACTTTGTAAAACTTGCTATGTATTCTCTGCTGTAAGTCCTCTGAATATGAGATGATTGTGTACAATTGGCATCATTCACTGCTAATAACTGCGATTGACAGCATGTGCCAAAAGTCCACTAGCAAATCCTGGTTCACATTTCAAATGACTGCTTGTTTCAGCCAAGTGCATGCTCCTTTTAGTTGCTGTTCATGAAACAGATTGCTTTTTTACATCAATATAAATTTTTGCTTATGTCTATCCAATGATATATATGGAAGGTGTGTCCATTCTTCCGTTTGCTACGTATCATTCTGTTTGTGGTCCCTTCAGGCTACTCACACAATGGTGGGACTTTGATCCTTCCCCTACTGCAAACACTGACTGGTCAAAGCAAAGGCTGCAAAAGCCTGTAGACTCAGTGGTTGTTGTATGATCTGCATATTTTCCCTTCCATGCCCTCCAGCCCAACTGGAACTGTGCAGAGTAACCATAACTTTCATCAGCCCTTCTTTTGCTGGCAGGAATAGGATAGCTTCCTCCTCTTCCCTGATGGTCAGA